TAAGTTTTCTATCCTAAGTTCACTCTCAGAGTTGCTGCTTTTGCTAGCTTTGAAAACGCTTTTGTCCTTGTCATTGTCATAAGCAGCTGTCCCACCAATGCTTTGGATATAAAGAATCCGTCTCATCGCTTCATTTTCTTTTTTCTGGTACCAGTGAATATAAGCAGATTCAAAGCCTGAGCCTACGTACTTGCAGTTGATGCGAGCAGTTTTGCCAGAGCCTTTTGTGACTGTTATTTTATCCTGTTCCAGTGTAAACGTTGTAACTGGCACTGCAATGAAGAACAGAAAAATAATGAAAGGAATGAACTGACCTGTCTAATCAGTGCAAATTTATCAAACAAATGTATTACATCAAAATTCACTTACCCAATAAAATGGAAATAATAGCAATGCTTGAAAGCTGCAGCATGGTTCCACCCTAGTGAGACTTACTACCACACCTGTATGTCCTATTGTAAAGTATCATAGTTATAAGTTGTTTCAGCTGATCATTCACAGGAAATGACTGTGATACAGAAACAATCTGATTTGCTGTAATGTCTGAGCCAATATAAATGTCATTCTTGATATGATCAGATTTTTGAGAGTTGCAAACGTCTGAATTTAGATTCTATAAGAAAGAACAGGCATGTGCTTTATGAATAAAAAGTTTCAAGTTTTTTACTTCATACAGTTATCATATTCTTATGCTTTACATATATTTCTGTTGATGATTATCAATACTATTTTTCAACCTATTGTTGGTGCTTCACGTATTGTATGTACTAACTAGAATCCTTAATCCTAAATAAAATAAATTAGAATACTTTTTCAAAACCACAATACTTCCTAGTTGTGGCATAGTTTGCAGTTACTATTTACTTATAAAAGTTTTCAAACAGAGAATATCTCCAGTTTCAGGTAGGATTGTCATTCCTGTAAAACAGTGAATCAATTATATATCTAAGAAACATGTTTCTTGAATCCTCTTATTTTTTGGCTTTTTCCCCAGGGCTCAAGCCTCACTCTTTTCTAATAATTTCTCAAGTGTTCAAAGACATGCATTGTGTTGCTTAGAGTTAACTTCCAAGGGCATTACTTTGAGATTCCTCATAAATGATCGAATGAATGGTTGTTTTCTACACTTGTCAAATGTTGTTACAAAAAAGGTTTGACCCACCACTTCATTGAAAAAGTATACTGTGAGCTTGTCGTGAACAATAGTTTACTATGACATAACTTTAAAAGTTAAAACCTTAAAAAAAAGAATTGTTGAATTAATTGACGCACAGAGAAGTCGTTAGGAAAGGTTGGAGTTTTAGATGTGGTGTGTAATGTTTATCAGGCACAGACATTGTCATTTCCTGGAACTGATATACATGTACACTGTACTGTGGTTTCAGCTGATCCAAACTTTGTTTAGGGCTGTGATACAGTAATTATTGTTGAGGTTTTTGTACAAGCTACCTATGGCATCTGTATCACTGTGGGAGACCCAACAGGCACAGTAATATGTGGCAGAATGACTTTCCTTCGCAGCAGTTATTTTAAGAATGTTCATTCCTTCAGCCTCAAAACCTGAAGAAGGGATGTCCAGAGTAGCTGCACCACTTGCAATACTCACATAAAGAACTCTCTTAAAAGTTTCACTCTCTTTTTTCTGGTACCAGTGGATGTAGTCGTTACAAGAGTTCATATTAGTGAGTTTGCACTTAATACGTGCAGTTTTGCCTTTCCTTTTCATGACTATTTCTGTTCCATCAGAGGGTGTGACTGACACTGCAATGAAGAGAAAAAAAGAGAGTTGACTTGAGTGATCTGTTCACTGACAAAGAAACATGTGTTACAAAATCTTCACTTACTTAGGAGAAGGACAGAAAGAACTGTGAAGATTGAACCCAGAACCATCGTTTAGTCTCTCAGTAATGCCTTCATGTGTCTGAGCATTTGATTTCTTTGATTTTCTTTACTACTTGCTTACGTCGACTTATCATCAAGAGGAAATGATTGTGATGTTAACCAATCTCAGAGGACTGCACTCTACTATGAATTCTTTGAAGGTATATATAAATGGTATTTGAACCCACTATGATCAGTGGATTGAGAAATGTCACAGTGAATGAAAATAGATGAACTGTTGTCAAATAATTCGATTTTTTTGCAAAAGCTTTCAAAGTTAGTAGGAAGGAGGAGAGCTAATTATTGTTGAGTTTAAAGAAAGTCTAACTAGTTTTGCAAGCCCATCTGCATTTATTATCAGCTTTCTTAGTTGGAGCATTCATTTGTGTATCATTTGTTTTGCATTTTACACTCTTAAGCAATGATTTCAAAAGATGTATATTTAAAACATGGTACAAGATTAAATTTTATTTGAATTAACATAGATGTGTCAGAGCAATGAACAAGGTTGGTTTTAAAAACTTTTATTGAGTAATGAAATACTGAGTGTCTGAGCTGCTGCATCTGTATTTCATTGTAAACTGAAGTTGAACATGAGGAAGCATAAGGTTTTTAAGTTTGATTATCATACCAATGAGGGATCCAGGGGTTTATTCAGTTCCTGTTTTAGGGTCAAGAGTTCTTTCAACCCTTATTTTCGCAATGTCTTTTGTGTCTTTTGGGATTTTTTATTGGAATTGAAAATGGTGCAGACTATAAAAAATATTTTTTGTTCATATTAGTACTATGTTGATGTTCTTAAATATAAATCAGGTGATTATTGTGAAAATATACAGAAGTATTAGTTTTATGGTGATACTTCAAAAGCAATGTCCCCCCTATACAACTGAAGTTGTTTTTATCATTATTATTATGAGTAAGAGCATTAACAGCAACTGCTTCTAATGTGTTTACCTACTATTCCCCTGTATTCAGGACACTTTATACTTTACATAATGAATGTCCATCCACTATTAAAGAACAATTTTGTGCTTGACTTCTGCTTTTTAAAACCCATAATAATACATGTACAGTATTTTCAAGAGAATTAAAGTTAACTGACTGTCTCTTTCAACTCACTGCAGATGCTTCTCATATGGCACTGCAAATTCTCCCATTCCATACTTTTTGGCTGTAATTCACAACATATTTCCAATCATGTGTTTATTTCCTGAGTTATTATCAAAGAGTGATATAAAGGGTTGTTAGACCACAGGTGTCGTGGGCTGTGTTGACTTCAGGTTTCCAAATGATGGCAAGTGTCTCCACAAGGGTGGTGTATTTACCTCCCCTTGTTCTGGGGCTTCCATTTGATCAAAGGTCCTCCTTGTGTAGACACTTGTTAATTAGCATACAATTCAGAGATGACATGTGGGATTGCGAGACAGGTCTAACTGGGCCACAGAGTGGGAGGAGGTAACTAGCTCAAGGTTTAAATAAATAATGAATAATTCTTACACATTTATAGTGTTTTTCTGCTCACTCCACTCAAAGTGCTTTACAAGGAATGGGGGCTCCCCTCCACAAACATCAATTTGTAGAACTGACATGATGGCGGCAGCAACAGTGCACCAGTACGCTCACCACACATCAGCTATCAGTGCGGAGGAGAACAGAGTAGTGAAGCTAATTCAAGATAGGGATTTTTAGGAGGTCATGATTGATAATGACCAAGGGGAATTTGGCCAGGACAACAAGGTAACACACCTACTCTTTTTGTGAAACATGTTGGGATCTTTAATGACCATGGAGAATCAGAACCACGGATTTAAGTCTCATCTGAAGGTTGGTGCCTTTTAACAATATAGTGTCCCCACCTCCATCTGCCCCATACTGGGGCATTAGAACCGATACAGTCTGTAGTGTGAGGGCTCCTTACTTGTCCCACTAACACCTCTTCCAGCAGCAACCTTAGCTTTCCCAAGAGGTCTCCCATCCAGGTACTGGCCAGGGTCTCACCTGCTTGTGAATTGCAGGATGATACTGTATAGCTGCTGAATTAAATACGCTGTGCATCGACTGACCACACCCAAGACATCAAAGAAACACTTTTACCCCCCCCCCACTCCCATCGAGAATGAGTCCCAAGCCATGGTAACTGGGAAATTGAAAACCCCAGTGATGAGAACTCAATGAGACACAGAGTGAAGGAACTGGAGGAAACACAGTTTGCACCACAGCACCCCTCCTGGTTTCTTTCTTTTTGTTGAGATCCAGAACATCCTGAACAAATGCTATAGCTTAGTTCACTTTTTGCCTACCTTATGAATCTCAGGAAAACAAACTATGCACAGACTGTTTTAAAGACTAGAGTAACCAAGACGCAGAGCTGCCCCACCCCCTTTAACCCAAGCTGCTACAGAAACCCAGCCCAGCTTGTTTCTACCAGCACAAAGTCAGGGACGGTTGGACAATGGATTGTTGAGTATAACTTCATTAATCACATAAGCCTCGAGAACTGTTATTGCAAATGCACGTTTGATGATAAGTTCATTATAGTAAATTTATATTTGCTTGTGTCTGAGAATATAAATGTAATTGACTTATATGAGACTGATAGAGCTTATCAGCTAGGCTGTACCATGTTATACATTAGCCGATGTGTATTTTACTCTGAAGCAATTAAATCCGATCTTTGTAATCCCTGAGTGAACAGTCAGCAGTCCGTGTTCACAGCAGATCGTTTCACAGATATATATTCTGTTATGTTTTTGTTGGTTATGCATGTCTTGAGTATATCAATGAACTGTACAATGTATATTTAGAATCTGTTTGTGAGATTGTAAATTATTATGTTTGATTGGCTCCTAAAAGTCAAGTAGTCTCACAATTTCCTTTTATAATTTCTGATTGTTTACAGCAAATTAAAACCCCCTGTCTCCTACAGGTTTTTAGACAGCATAAATGACTTTTCAACCTATCACTGCTAATAATTAACTAAATAAAATCTACAGTATATAAATGGAAAGGCATGTGAATTACACTGACTCTGATCATCTGCAACAATAGAGTAATATTCATGTGCTGCCATTTCCTGGAAAACAACTAATGAGGTTAATGATGTTGATTTCAAGTACTGCCTCTGAGAGTCAGGCTGGAGTTTTTGTACAGACAGTCTACGGCACATTTTTCACTGTGGGTGTCCCAGCAGGCACAGTAATAGGTGGCAGAATGGCTGCTCTGTGCACCAACTATCATGAGTTCGCTCTCAGAGTTGCTGTTTTTGCTAGCTTTGAAAACTTCTTTGTCGTTGACATTGTCATAAGTAGGTGTACCACCAACACTTTGGATATAAAGAATCCGTCTCATCGCTTCGTTTTCTTTTTTCTGGTACCAGTGGATAATAGCAGAGTCAAAGCCTGAGCCTTTGTATTTGCAGGCGATACGAGCAGTTTTGCCAGAGCCTTTTGTAAGTGTTGCTTTATCCTGTTCCAAAGAAAACGATGTAACTGGCACTGCAATGAAAAACAGAAAAATAATTAAAGTAATTAACATTTCTAATTAGTACAACCTCAAAAACCTTTATTACACCAAAATTCACTCACCCAGTAAAAAGGAAATGATAGCAATGCTTAAACCCTGCAGCATGGTTCCAACCGGGTGAGACTTACTACCACACCTGTATGTCCTATTGTACAGTATCATAGTTCTAAATTCTTTTAAATGAGTTCACAGGAAATGACTGTGACACAGAAACCAATCTCAAAATAATCTGATTTGCTGTCATTTTCTGAGCCAATATAAATGTCATCCTTGATATGATCAGATTTTTTATTCAGAGTTGAGATTGTCTGCGATTGATTCTAGAAAAAAGAACAGGCATGTTCTTCATGAATTAAAAGTTTCAAGTGTTTTACTTCATACAGACTGTTAGCATATTTTTATGCTGTACATACATTTCTGTTAATGAATATCAATATTCTTTTTCAATCCACGGTTGAAATGATTAAGAAACTATTACTAATAACATGTTTTATTTTATTCAGAGAAGAATTTTGATTAGCCGAAATCTATAACCATAAGCACCTGAAAAGATAATAAATTACACCTTGAAACTAGAATACCAACTCAGTATAGAACAATGAATATTGATGCTAACCTTTTCTTGTAAATTAATTCAAAACAGAACATTTCATATTTCATATAGGACTTCTGCACGCCTATGTACAGTATAAAAGTCTCGAACCCAGGAATACCCTTCACGTATCTCCCTCACATCTCCTGCACTTTCCTATCTTCTCTTGCAGCAAACTCCTTAGCTCACTCCTCACAATAGTGAAAGGAGGTTTGGGCAGCGTATCCAGGCTTGGATAGGTTGCCATTCCCTTAGTTAGGTGCACCTCTCCAGACATTTTTCATTCATCTCTCTCGCATTCATTAAGATCCACTGAAACCACTGAAGACATATTTGTGTATTAATATGGTGAAGGGTATTTATGGACTCGGGGTGAGGCCTTCAGCTTCCACCCATCCATTTTCTAACCACATTATCCAATACAGGGTCACTGGGGAGCTAGATACTTTTTTACAGGAAAACATTTTTACAGGAGCAAATTAATGTAGCAGTATGTCTTTGGACTGTGGGAGGAAGCTTGAGCACCCAACAAAAACACATGCATACAGGATGAAAACATACAAACTCCATGCAGATAGCACTTCAAGTCTGGACCTGAACCCAGAGCCTCAGCACTGCAAGGCAGCAATGCTAATCACTGAGCCACAATGCTACTCTCTTATATTGAGTTAAACAGCAATAAAGGATGTCTCAAACATCTCCTTTCTCAGCCCGTTGCTGCTTTTAAAAAAATCAGAAAAATGAGTGTTGAATGTGGTCTGTAACGATCATCAGGTGTTCAGACACTGTAATTTCTTGGAACTGAAGTACTGTGGTATTTGATCTGATACAATGCTTTGATTACTGCTGTGACACATAAGTTCATGTTGAGGCTTTTGTACCAGCTGCCTATGGCTTCTGTATCACTGTGGGAGACCCAACAGGCGCAGTAATACATGGCAGAATGACTGTCCTTCACTTTAGGTATTTGAAGATAGCGTTCATTCCCATTTTGCCTTGCCTGGAAGTCTGCACCACCATGATTGGTGTCAGAAACTCCATCTCCACCACTAAGACTCACATAAAGAATCCTCTTTGAAGCTTCTCCTTTTTTTTGGTACCAGTGGATGTAGTTCTGGCATGAGCCGACATTGCTAATTTTGCAGTTTATACGTGCAGTTTTGCCTTCTCTTTTTGTGAATGTTTCTGTTCCATCGGAGGGTGTGACTGACACTGCAATGAAGAACGGAAAGAAAGAGAGGTGTCTCGAGTGATCTGTTGACTGACAAAGAAACATGTACAACAAAACCTTCACTTACTGAGCAGGAGTACAGACAGAAATGCGATGACTGAACCCAGACCCATGCTTTATTCTCTCAGTTAATGCCTTCATGTGTGTGAGCACCTTACTTCTTTTCTTTACTGCTTGGTTACTTAGACCATCAAGAGGAAATGACTGTGACGTTAACCAATCTCAGAGGACCACGCTTTTACTGTGGATTCTTTGAAGGGATATACAGTAAATGGCATTTGAACCCACTACAGTCAGTGGGTTGAGAACAATCACAGTATATGAGAAAGTATCATTATGTGGAATTGTTCTGATTCTTCGGGAAAGCTTTTTAAGTCGAAAGGAGGTGAGGTGTTTATCATTGCACTTGCAGTGTGTCTAAGTTTGGTAGTTTTTTAGTCTAATCTCCATTAGTAATCAGCTTTCTCAGCTTGAGTATATCCAGTGATCTTACAGTTTGTCACTCCTGACATTAAAGTGAAAAAAGCGTTGGTTATCTGAACTGTTCAGTTATGAACATTTGTATCCAAGCACAGAATTACGTAGAAGAGAATATGTATTCTGTGACCTGAGTCACGGTTGGTATGATTGACATTTATAACTAAGTCTGGCCTAGAAAAAAACTGTGTCCTTTCTCTTGGAGCTTCCTTTCATTACATTTTGTGATCAGTAGACTAAGTGTGCTTAAAAGACAAAAAGAACACAATTCACCTTCAGGTTTCGTAAAAAGCCTGGCATCCATGGTAGAAACAATTCTTTTTATAGTGCAATTAGAAGACTGCAGTTTTGGATTCAAATTTGTGTTAGCCTACATTTGTCGTTTCCATGTGAATTTTGTTCTCTTGCTTTGCAATGTTCTAAGTTTATTATACCCTGTCATTTTTTGGGGGGACATTCTTCAAGGATTCGTGAAGTTTCGGATTTTATTTAACACAGCACTGGAAAAATGTAAAACTGTTTGAGACACAGTGGGGGTTTTTGGATTTTGTTTATCTATCAAATTAATTTAAATATTTAATTTGTTTTGCTGACCTGTTCGAGTTTTGATTGTTGGTGTCACATGAGGAGCTCCTCATATACTGTATGATATCTTCCTATCACTCTCACTTTCTGTCAATCATTTTTTAAAATGTTCTACCTTATTCCACCTGACATCCCTGTGATCCACAATTTCAAAATTGCAAATATTTCAATCCAAAAATGTAACATATCCCAGATAACTGAATTTAACATATTTTACACTTTATACTTTATTTTACATGAATATCTTCATTGGACTCCGCCTGTTGAAAAATATGTTCACATTTAACCTATCAACAATGTCAGGTTAAAAAAATAATTATTAGGAAATTTAAAACAATATTACATAAATCAGATTATAAAAAGGATCATTGCTGGTGCAACAACTGCAAACAATACAATTTGCTTTTCTAGCTTTCCTGCTGTAGAAGTTTTACACAGTCCTTTAATTATTTGATACCCTCTTAAAAATTAATATATTTCTTTTCAGTAGTCACTGTAACTGTCAGTTACAATGCAGGACAAAATAATAGCTGCAGCTCATTGAAGAGATGTTACAGTGCCCAGTCCTCAGCTGCCTAGTGATTTTCACATGCAGAAGGTACCCACTGAAGGTCATCATCAAGTCTTCCTTTTTGAAATGATGCTTCCTTGCTACCAACTGTATGAAGGGAAGATTTGTTTCCTGAAATCATGGAAATTTCATAGAAAGCTTTGATGCAGAAATTCTCATTGTGGTTTTTGTGCGAGCTGCCTATGGCATCTGTATCACCGTGGTAGACCCAACAGGCACAATAATATGTGCCAGAATGGCTGTCCTTTAGTGTGGGTACTTTAAGGTTGTACTCAGAGCCTTTTTTCTCAGCTAGGAAATCTGAAGTTTCAGGGTCCCGATTGACTACCCCAGAATCTATGATTATATAAAGAAGTCTCTTAAAAGCTTCTCCTTCTTTTTTCTGGTACCAGTGGATGTAGCTCTGGCAAGAGCCGATATTCGTTATTTTGCATTTAAGACGTGCGGTTTTGCCTGCCTGTTTTGTGAGTGTTGCTGGTTCATCGGAGGCTGTGACTGACACTGCAATGAAGAACAGAAAGAAAGTTGACTTGAGTGATCTGCTCACGGAGAAGAATACAGTACATACAGTATCTAATAAAATTGTCACTTACCTAAGAAGATAGAAAACAATATAATAGCTGAACCGAGAACCATGGTTTATTCTTGAGGTAAGGCTTTTTCATATGAAAGTGCTTGATTTTGTTTCATTACGACTTGGTTATTTCATCTGAGCCCTGAGAGGAAATGACCGCAAAATGTTAACCAATCTCAGAGGGGCAAGCTGTGCAGCTCCTCCTTTTATACAGTAGATTTTTCTATCCTCTCTGCCACGAGTGACCCAGTACAGTAATAATAAATGAAATGAGGTAATTATTTGACACCCTAGATGCACCATGAACCATTTTAAATCTCAGGGAGAAAAAAAAAAATGTTTTATTTAGCAGATATACTAACAATTTTCACATTGAATTATTGCCATCTGTTTATGTGGAACTGAACATGAGGTGAGAGCATATTTTTGTTTGTCAATGATTGTGAGGATCAGACGACAACATTTATTCAGACGGGCTACTGTGTATTCTGTTTCTTGTTACATTTTGTCTGCATTAGTTGCTTGTTCTAACTCCTATGCCATTCCAGTGCCCTTGTTTTGTACTCTCCTGCAATATAGGGTAAAGCTTATCCTTAAAGATGTATTTTACACTCCCATTTATAGTGCATGCCACATTTTTATCTGTTTAGTAACTCTGCTTATTTTAAATAGCAGTAAACGTCAATGAATATGAACACTTTCAAGAGGAAAACTAAATTTAGTTGACTGTGTAATACATCTCCTTTCTCATGTTAAGCTACAAATGTCTTTAGTATAAATAAGGTTGGTGTCAACATTTGTGTAGTTAAGAATTTAATATTGTTAACTCTACCTTTGAAAGGATTGGACCATGATTCCTTGTTTTGTGTAGTCTGAATAATACCTTTTTTAGAGTTAGATAAGATGTGTTAACAACATTCATAAGATTTAATAGCTGTTCTTCCAAACATACAAGATAAAATGAGTTCAAACTCTATCCTGACTTCAATTCCATTGGTAATATTACTCATAACTGTAAGCATGAGTCTTAAACACAATGCAGTATGTGCATGTTTGTCTCTCTAGAAAAATCCAATAATGGTAAACATTGCTACAGTTCCTCGCAGCGCTGAGGCCCTGGTTTCAATTCCAGACCTGGGGTGCTGTCTACATGGACTTCTTATGTTCTACCTGTGTTTAGGTTTCCTCTAGGTGCTCTGGTTTTATACCACAGTCCAGAGACACATTGGTAGGCTAATTATCTTCCGGGAAAACCTTCCCTGGTATGAGTGTGCATGTCTGTCTGCCCTCTGCTGAACTCTGCTGGGCTGGTGTCCTGTCTAGGGCATAACCTGCCTTGTGCCCGTTGTGTGCCAGGTCAGGCTCTGGCTTTCCAGTGTCCCTGAATTGAAGGAAACTGTTTAGGAAATGAATGGATGGATAATACAACAAAAGTGCTGTAGCACCATAGTAAATATTAACAGATTTAATTTAAAAAAATGGATGACTTGGGTGCTTTACAGGAAGTTCAAAAACATCCAGGGATTTAACAGGCAGAGAAAGTTTTTTCCCTGCCGGGGGCTTATCGGCACAGTGCAGCTGAGAACATCGTGTGTGACTCTGTTTTTTCCTGTTCATGGTGTGACTCTTTATTCTAGGGGTTGCAAATCATATTTTACAAGGGCACAACAAACACAGTTGGTAAATACTAAAATAACCTTTAATAAAGTATTCCTAAATGGCAAATATCTTACTCCTATTAACTCCTATTAGCAATTATGCAATGTACATTCTAAATGTAATCCTAATATCATGTTTACTTTTTTATTGCTTCCCCAAATCATTTGGGAGATGTACATATACAGTATATCAACATTTAAAGCTAGGACATTTTCATTAACAGCTTAAACCTATTTTTGAGGAATTGTAACCATCATCAAAATTGTAATTTCCTGGAACAAAACTCTTGTGGGCTTGGTGTCTGATTTAATCAAAGATGTGCTGCAGACATTCTTATTAAGGTTTTTGTACGAGCCACCTATAGCATCTGTATCACTGTGGGAAACCCAACAGGCACAGTAATATTTGGCAGAATGATTGTCGTTCACTGAGAGTATTTTAAGTTTGTACACATTTTCCAGTTTCTCAACCTGGAAATCCGAAGCGCCGGGGTCCCGAGTAACTGCACCATTATCCTTTTGTATGTAAAGAAGTCTCTTAAGAGCTTCATTTTCTTTTTTCTGGTACCAGTGGATGTAAGTATTGCACGAATTTAGATCAGCAATTTTGCATCCAATACGTGCAGTTTTGCCTGTAAGTTTTGTGAGTGTTTGTATTTCATCAGGTGAAACAGCCCCTGAAAGAAAAAAATAAAACAGTAAGAAAGAGTTCATTTCTGTGATCTTGTTCATGAGCAAACATATCCAACAAATTGTTCCTTTACCTGTGAAGAAGACCAAAAAAAGTGCAATTGCTGAACACGAAAACATGCTTTCTTCTCAATATGTGTGGGGACACTTGATTTCTCTTCTTTACTGCTTGGTTATTTTGACTGACTCCCAAAAAGGAAATGACAGTTACATGGTAACCAATCTTGGAGGACCTTGTTCTGCTGGCTGTCCTTTGAAAGGACATAAATATCTTCTGAATGTCTCTGTGAACAGTACATTCATCACTGTGAAATTAAGTCAAAGTAGAAGCAGAAGGTCATAGTTCAGGTTAGAGACAAGCATATTTTTATTCAAGATTTGCACTATAAACAGCTTCATCAAACTGGATGTATTGCGAGGCATCGAGCAATTCAAAGAAAGAAAACATTATTTTATTTAAACAATATGCTGATGCTTCTTCTAAACAGCAGTGAACAAAAATGAATATTAATTCTGAGTCCCCATGGGCTTTCAGAGAGCTTACATTTTGAATAAATAGCCACCTGGGTGCTCTGAGGT